TGTGTGTGTGTGTGTCTGTGTGTGTGTTCTTTGCTCATGTGTGTTCTTTGCTCGTGTGCTTTTTGTTTGCAGATGTACGTGTCTTGTTTTTATGTGTGTACATGCATGTACTTTATACTCTATTTTCTGTGTTTCTGTACAAAGGATTCAAAAGCTTAATAAATATTATTAAAAGAAAGAGTACTTAATTACATACCTCTATAACGAATGGACCTGAAATATCTGCTTAACCTTGGACCATCCAACATAAAACTTGAAAAATCAGGCAGGTATGGTTTGGCAGTGGACAGTACTAATGCAGTTAAAATTACAGCATATTTTTAGAAGTTTAAAAGAATTGATAAGAAAATATTGACCTCTGATAATATAGTAGCTTTGACACTTTACATAACTATTCTTCCAAAGACCCTGGCTCTTGTTAAGAAAAAATAATCTATGTCCAATAGCAGATTAGTTTTGTTTCTCATGGAAAAGTCTGAGTTGTCACACTTCAGATAACAGTGATGTATTTTCATGAATATCTGCTATAAAGGTTAATTTGTTCTACTCATTTATTCATGCATATGTTGATAAACTGTAAAGATAAGACCAGAATGCCAAAAACTAACATAATTTTGGGGGGGATATCGATTATTTTTGGTTTTTGATATCTTAACACCTGATGTAATCAGTTTTGTTGATAAAAAGATGAGCTACTCGGAGCATCACATAAATTAAAAAGTGAGGTGGAACTAAATCATCTCTAGTGATTACTTCATTTATTACGTCAGGTTTACTCTCACCTTCAATTATGTGGGATAACTCTATGGTACTGTAGGTATGTACAAGGTCTGGAAGGCATTTCTTTTCTCCACTAACCAATAAAGCCCTTTTTTGCACTTGATGTCAGAAGACAAATGCATGTTAATTCCCATTATTACATTTTATCAAGAAAACAAATGGAAATAGAAGTGTAGAGTCACTAAATAAAGCTATGAATGGGAAATCCCATCTAAAGACTGAATACCAACAAAAATGTGATTATGCACAATATTATGCACAGTATTCATTGTCAACTAGAGCATTCAGAGTATGCAAAGAGCGAATTCATATCAACATGATGCTGAAATTAGTCAAAAGATCAGTATAAGTAAGGTCGGATTTCTTTGATTATAGTTTTAACAAATAGGATAGAATATATCAGAAGCTTTTACTGCAAACATTCATAATTAATTACAGTTGTTCCATCACGAGTTGCCATTTTGAAATCCTGTCATATACTACCCGTTGTATTGCCTATAGATTTCCAGGGTAAATCACCTGAGAGAAACGTGTAATATGAAAAATATTTATTAATCTGGACAATTACTAATAGGGAAAATGAAGAACACCTCAGTACTTATTTCTATGGGCGCATACATGCGTGGTTGAGCGAGGAGGATTCCATTCTATTTCTTGTTGAATGAAAATGTTTAAAGAAGGAATAAGTGTATTTCATATCTGTTATTACCTATCTTTAATCAGCTTTAAATTGCAGCTAAGTTGCTCTATTTGATTAAGACATTGGTAACATTGAAAATTACTAAATACCATAAAGTAGTTTCTATACTGCCGAAATTGATTATTCATAATCGATGGTAAAAGACGTCGCGGATCTTCAGTCACGCTTCGTGAGGAGAATACTCTCTCTCTCTCTCTCTCTCTCTCTCTCTCTCTCTCTCTCTCTCTCTCTCTCTCTCTCTCTCTCTCTCTCTCTCTCTCTCTCTCTCTCTCTCTCTCTCTCTCTCTCTCTCTCTCTCTCTCTCTCTCTCTCTCTCTCTCTCTCTCTCTCTCTCTCCCTCTCTCTCTCTCTCTCCCTCTCTCTCTCTCTCTCTCTCTCTCCCAAGTGCGTCATGATTACTATTCATAAGGCAGTGATTACATTCGTCTCTCAGCATTGTCATCTATCCAGATGTATAAACTGTTTATTGAAATAAACATGCGGACTAGTTCTATACTTCTAAATCCTGGTAAACTATCAATATGATTCGAGGACGACGAGAGCAAACGCACGGACACAAAATTGTCGCGGTAGCGATGTTTTCTCGCGCTTTCACATATCTTCGCTTATTTAGGTCATTATCTTATAAATGTAAATTTTCATTCTACGAAATTGTAAGCACGCAATATTCCAAAAAAGAGAAGATAGTAAACTATAATACATTTTACTTATCAGATAAGTAATGAAGATTAAATTATATGAACAATAAAGAATAGGAACCTTCATCTCAGAGACAGGAAACACATTATCAACCGATGATGTGTGATACATCATGGCGTTCTCCATGAGCTGCTATAGACTAACATCAAACATCTCGTTTTTCTCTGAATATAAAATTCTACTCTTTACTTATCATTCAGTCGTTTTTGAGAAATGTACCCTGTATTATCAAATCAAATCGTCATTTCTTTTTAAATTAGAATTGTTGCATTACATACATATTTAAAGTAGCAAAAAACAGAGGCACGTTATTATTAGCTACTTGCAAGGAAGACTGCTTATCATATTGACATATATCCACATTAGATGACTCAATAACTGTCTTCTCAACCGTCTGTTTCATCTGGGAATGTTATTTTTTTTTTTTTACCTTATAAAAATCTTTAATAGTTCTCTCAGTTGTTCATTAAAAATCTCCACGTTTGGCTTTACAGAAAGTCATGTTCATTTGAGTGATATCGAATCCTTTTGTTGAAAGAAATAGTAATCCTTTTTTCTATGTATATTCTGTAAAAAAAAAAAAAGGAAATAGAATTCTATGAGTAGCTCCATGAGTCACTTGAATAGGTATTTGGCTATCCAATATGGGATTTTATCGGGAATTAGGATAGGTCTATCATTCACATAGCATCAAGTTGTTGTAATTTGATGGAGGTTGTAATTTGCGTAATCCCATGCCTGATTACAAAGATCCCTCGATTTGTGTATGTTCCCCTAATGGTCAATGAAATTATGTATATTGAAAGATTATCATCGCATTTCTGTATTTTTGACGTGTGCCGTCAGCTCTATAACACTTTTTCTTTTATGCAGCGAAGGCCAAGCGGCCGGTTTGTTAAAATTCTACGAGGCCCAACCCAGTGAATATTCATTACACGGACATGTACATACACTGAAATAAATGCATATCTATTAGTATTAGTATATGAATATGCATGTCCCTATATACAAATATTCATTGGATCGGGTCTCGCACAATTTTAACAAACCGGCCGTAGGTTTATTATTTAGACCTTGGCGCAGGCTGCCTACTGATAAAGAAATATCACGAAACTAAACTCACTCGAACAACGATTGCCCGTTAACAGTTTCTCTTGAAGAACAAGAAGTAAATCATATGGAAATAAAACCCAACAAAAATATTATTGACGCCCGACTAAGAATTGAAAACGCCCAAAGCAGCAAAGGCAAAGGCAAGAACCGAGTGAGAAGCGAATTGGTAATACTTGCTCCCTGACACTCGTAGTAGGGGATTAATCGCGTCGCTGGCAACACTTGACTCCTTTGCTCTCCTCATAATAGTAAAAAAGATGTCTTTTTTCACCGCTCTCACCACTAGGACTTTCTCCAGCTCGGCTAGAATGGCAGCTGCAATTAAGAATGTTACCGTCATCGGAAGTGGCTTGATGGGCGCAGGAATTGCTCAGGTAAAGACTAATGGTAATTTTTAGATAGAAATTTAGAGACGGAATTCTGCCGGCCGGTTGTGCAGGAGTGATGAGACGGAAATCGGGATGAAATCGCTTTTATTTTCTCGTCGATTTTGTTTCTGGGGTCAGGAGTTGGATAGACAGTATGCTTTTTTATGATTGCGCATTAATGGGACAAGTAATTTATGCAGAGGTGATGAACGGTATTTAATAGAACTTTTCGATACTGTAGTTAGGCCTAATGAGTTTTATTGCTGTCATTGTTGCCATGCAACATTTAGATATAGAAGTAAAAGCATGTGAAAAGGTGAATGAGCTCGGTAGATGGCCAGAGGTTTTGTGATGGCTTATATCTTTTACAGCTTCCTGCCGTCTTGAAAAGAAAAAGCAAGTGTCATAATGACTCTGCATTGCTCCACTGATTAGATAATAAGTTCACTTGTAGCTAAACCAAATATCAGTGTTTGGAATGTGATCATATGATAAAATAGAAGTAAAACAACTTGTTGATTTAGGCTAGCCTTGTTTTATATTTAGTTGATAAATAAGTGGCTCCCAAACTAGGAATAATGGATGGCACCTATGGGTGCCTCATGGCTTCAGAATGAAAATAAAGATTTTTTTTTGGTTTGTGGCACATTACTCCAATTACAATATCTCACAAATGGAATATATCACAAAGGAAATCGTAAACATTCAGAATTTTGGTTTTGCTTGCTTAATTCAGTTACATTGTCTAGCATTAGTTTGTATTAGATGTTATTCTCAATGTTCTTAGAAGTTTTTTGTCATTTGAATGTTTATTTTACTTTTGAGTCATGAGTAATGATGTTCTCTGCTGATAAAGTAAGTTCATGTAGGGTATGGGGTTGAGAGATGTTGCAAGAGGGTCTTTGCAAATTTTGGATGGCATTGCTAAAAGTTTTGGGACCACTGGTAGTGAATGTAAGTTGATATAATGTATGTATAAGGTGGATTAGGTTCCTTTTATACTCTAATTAGTTACTTTTTTTCAAAATGTGTAAATGACCAGCTATAATATTTGGAAGAGTGAAGTAATTAAAATTGCCTTGTTTTATTTGTACAGTCAAGTCATTAGCAGTAGATCAAAGTTATTCAGAAATATCAATTTAAAGTTTAGTTTTGAAGTTTTTGTGCAATGTAATTATTTATGACTTAATATGTAAATAAGGAGTTTAATTTTTATTATCACTCTTCAGGTGGCAGCCCAAACTGGCCACACAGTGACCATGGTTGATATTGACAAGGCAGCTGTGGATAAGGCTGAAAAGAGAATTGCTGCATCAATTCAAAGGGTTGCCAAGAAGAAATTCAGTGGCGATGAAGGTGAAGCAACCAAGTTCATCTCGGAAGCAATTGGCCGCCTGAATACTTCCACAGATGCAGTTGCCTCTGTGGGCTCGGCTGACTTGGTTGTAGAGGCTATTGTGGAGAACATTGGGGTCAAGCAGAAGTTGTTTAAGGAACTAGATCAGGTTAGTTTTCCATAAGTCATACATGGACTTCTTTATGAAATGTGACATACATAGGCATATTTGTATGTTTGCATTAGGTTTTGTATTGACAATGAATTTGATTTGGTAGGATTTTATTTTACAAGTAGCTTTCACTTGTTCCAGGCTGCTCCAGAGCACACCATTTTTGCATCCAATACCTCATCCCTTCCTATTGGCAAGATTGCTGAGGTTACAGATAGGAAGGACAGGTTTGGCGGCCTGCATTTCTTCAACCCTGTGCCAGTTATGAAGCTCTTGGAGGTATAACACTTTTGTTCTGAATCTGTAAAGGTCTTCATTGTGGGATTCTTGCTTGTGTTCTTGTGATTATTAATGTGGATCATGACTAAGGTATTTTGATTTTAAAGAAATATAATTTTTATCAGTTTAGAAGAGAAAATATAAAACCTAAAATGAGAATTATGCAAAGGGTGTTTATCTTTGGTAAGAAACAGCCTTTTTTATATTCGTAAAGTCATGGAAATTCAATGGAACTGTCAAGGTAAGAAACATTTAGTTTGTTCCACAGCGAGTTGATGATGAAGTTGGTTCAGTTGCTTCTGTTAGGACAGCTCCATGAATATTACTGCCAAAACTTAACTGTAGAATCTGTATTAATTTGTTGAATTACTTAATCGTTTCTTGCACAACTGTTTTGTCATACTGTCCAATGTCCAGCATTCTCTATGGGGATTTAGAGTATGTTTACAATTTTTTAGAATTTGTAGAAGTTTGCTTTTAATACCATAATTTTTCTTATTTTTATGATTGTCCTTTTTCGACATCAAATGAATATATGGCATGTGCATTGTAAATGCATAATACATGTACATCCTTTTGTTGTATTGAGCTTGCCCAAGAAAGAATGAAGGAAAACAGTTTAGCTATGAACCAGTTTGATGGTCTACATTCACTGTGGAACAGGCAACCAGAGTCTGACTTTGCATGCAGAATGACAATTTTGAAGGCACGCTGAGATTTCCTTTTGCACCAAAGGAAGAGAAGATTGAAGCAGTGAAGTGAAAAGGTGAGGTATTTGTAATTTTATTTGCATTATTTAAAACCAAACTAAAATTATTGGTTTCTGTTAGGGCCACTAATTTAAAGGAGAAGAATATGAAGTAGATGAATTTTGGAGATGTAGGAAATTGACTTCTGTTCCCGAGTCAATAGTGAAAGAATTGAAGGTTATAAACTGCAAATGTTCAGCTTTTATAAGTCTGACATGGGGTTTACAAGTTAGTATTCTTGCAGTTGTAAATTAAAAATAGTATCAGACAACATCCAAGGCCAAATTACTTTAACACATGTGTCTCTACTGCTGAGCTAAGCCTTGCCCTTTTGATATAATTTCATTTTTTTTTTTTTAGTTTGTTTTCTAATGACTTTCCTCTGTCACCAATTAGCTATTATCAAAAAGAATATACTGAAGAAATATTTACTGTAGAAAATTGCACAGATTGACAGGGTCAAAAAAGGGCAAAGACTAATGATGTCATCGTGTTTAGCCAATTAGGGTGTGCCCTGAGATATCTGGTATAGCAAGATAATTATTTGTTCAGTTTACGTGGTATTTTTATAATTACCAGAAGTAAAACAAAAATTCCACTCCCTTGTTTATGAAACCGTGTTTTATACCATAAATAGCTGTCAGAATATTCTAGGAGAAAAGTCTGTATAATTTTTATGTTGAATAGGCTAAGGAGAAGTGGAGCTTCTGGTCTATGTACCTTGACTCAAGATGAAATGCAATGAAATACAGGTAAAGATTTGTATAACAAAGATTGGTAGATTTCGCACATCTTTCCCAGGATGTGTGAAAGTATTAAAAAAATATAGTAAATACAATAGGATTTTGTGGTTATCAGTAGGTTTAAGTGAAAAATATGCTGGCTCAAAATCAGGATTTTTGAAAAAACAAGAAAAGACAAAAAAGGGAATTTGAAAGGTACAGTTTGACAGGGTAAATATAACCCTTATGATCTATAAACATAAAAGACCATGTAGGTAGGTTTGCCACTGAACATTTCTTCCTTAATGTAAAGAGCTAGTTGTAGGTACTTGTGATTACCTGAGTTTGATATAGTCTATTGGAATTTAAGGTATCTTGATTTTAATTTCTTTAACCCTTGCAGGTGGTGCGGATCCCAGAAACTTCTCAGGACACATACGAAGCCATGTGTGTGTGGGGAAAGAACATGGGCAAAGTGACTGTCGAATGCAAAGACACACCTGGATTTATTGTCAACCGCTTGCTGGTGCCTTATATGTTTGAATCTGTTAGGATGCTAGAGAGAGGTACAGTTGCTTGATTGATGCATTTTAATTCTTATTTGACATTCATGGTGCACACATACTCTGTTAACAGAATGGTTAGGTTCAGTGTTCAAAGATATTCATTAACCCTTTGGCAATGAGTGATATGGGATAACCAATTATGTTTTACGAGCCCAGGTATTGTTTGGCCAAATTAGAGCAGGACAATCGTCCAAGCACTTAGTAGCACACTCTGATATATGCATGTTCTTGCCAGACTTTCCCAGAAGCTTTATCCTTCATTCCAAGTATTTACCTGTGAATGTAGTTCAGTGGTCTCATTAATTCTGGCCAGAGTATTTGTAACATTTATGAATGAACGAATGAGAATAATTTATAATTTATTTTTATTCAATTGGCAGCACAATGTTTGTTACATAATATTTAAATGTCTTCTGTTTTATAACTATATTACTTTTAATTGCAGGAGATGCAAGTGCCAGAGATATTGATGTAGCTATGAAGCTTGGTGCTGGCTACCCCATGGGGCCATTTGAGCTCATGGATTACGTTGGTCTTGACACTGGAAAGTTCATTATTGATGGTAGGTACACAACAAACTGCTGGCTGTGCTGTAATAGTTTTCTTTTTAATGTTGGTTTCACTTGTTGAGTTTAAGGCAGTTCTCATTTGCTTCAGTAACTTAGGGAAGATGAAATTGGACTTGATGTACCTTTAGTGATCAATAATGGAGATTACTATGCCAGCTAATCTGCAATCTCTGTAAAGTGAATTCTTGAGGTGCTAGTGACAGGTCTGATAGCATCTTGCGAAGAAGGAAGTTTCATTATATGTGGGAAGAGAACTGCTTCAAACATTGAATGGAAAGTCCATAATCTTATGCAGTACCTTTAGTTGTAAGTAACAAGTCTGTCTCGCCTCTTATTTGAATTCCTTAGTGTATCGCAAAAATTGTTGTTAACCCACTTGTGCTGGGTATCACACATATGTGATGGCTAGAATATGAACTATTGCCGGCTGTCCACTGATGTGATGCAAGATGGGAGCTTGCGCTCTGATTTTGTTGCCTGAGGCGTGTGGGTAGGTTCTCTGACTGGCCTGTGTGCTGAGTTTGATACTGGAAATAGGGATTATCACCTTCCAAATGGACTGTCTTGGGTGGGTTAAGTTAAGGAAATTGTTGGTAGTCCTTGATTATTGAACTTCAGAAATGTATTTAATGCCTTTTAGATATTATCAGATCTTAATTATAGCAGAATATCTTTTTTGGCCATACAGGAAAATAGTAACAGATATGCAGGTTAATTAGTTTCATTATTTTGAGGCTAAGGGGTTCAACATTTCGGTAGTGCCTTCAATGTGTATAAAGTACAGGTTAGCATGTAGTATACATCATTCACAAAGAAAAATATTTATAGACCAATATATTGATTTTATTCATCAAAAATCTTAGGGAATATCTATAACAGAGGACATGATACTGCTGATCATTATCCATTTGTGGTGAGGGCTTAATGCCAGAAAAGCAGAGTAGTGGTTAGGACACTGTCTGCTAATATTAATTTGGTTGATAAAGAAAACTGACCTGAGAAGTGGATTTTAACTGAATGAAAGCTAGAGGAAAGGGACACTGAATAATTAGCAAAATTTTGACAACGAATACTGGAATTTTTTTTTTTATTTACCCAAACCTTGAGAGATGAATTTCTTGTCTCTTCAGGGACGTCGTTTAACTATTACCCACCTTTTACAAGACAATTAGAATGCCCTTAGTGGTGGGTAAAGTTTTCTTTGATGCTCTGTGGATGTGGTTTATTTGATGGGACACCAAGAGCAGCAGCAAGTATGCCCATGATTTAGTGACCATAGAATTTCTTGGTTTTCATTGATAAGACAGATGTGAATGTAGTTGTCTTGAGTTTTTATTTTGTGTGATAATGATTTTTATTATTATTATTATTATTTTTTTAATGAATGATATTAGTGGTAACTCCCAAGCAGTGCTGTTTCACATGTTGCTAACTTTACTTTGTTGAAAGACAAAATTGATAGAGGAATGGATGTTGTTTTAAAGTGCAGTAATTTTTTTGATGCAGTGAAATTTGATATAGAGAAGTTCTAGTAAAGATATATTGAAAACCTTACAGTTGATATTTATTTATTTTTAGGTTGGGCTAAGGAATACCCTGAGAACCCACTCTACCAGCCTTCTGAACTTTTGAACAAGATGGTTGCAGAAGGCAAGCTTGGTGTAAAGTCTGGAGAAGGTTTTTACACTTATAAGAAGTAAAGAAAGCAAGACTAGCTTTGCCCGGAAATTGGCAAATGAGTGATGTAAGGAGAAAGGAAGAGCACTCATTTGAAGTTGTCCTGAATACTGAAGACAGAATATTCTGTTATGCATTTTTCTTTGCAATACTAATAGTCATGAATCTGTACGGAATATTAATATTTTTCTCTTATAAGATCTATATGCACATCAATGCAATATTGTTAATACTGTATTTGTACGTTTAAAAATAAAAAAATATTTTCTATGAAGTGTCTTGCTTCACCCAGAATGTACTTTTTCATTTTAAACCATAAACTTGTTGCTTGTTTATTCAGGGACTGCAACAGTACAAATAATGATCTTGGTATCAAAATATGACAGCGTAAATTTCCTTTCAAATCTGAGATTTCTAGTATCACTGGACTCAAATTCCCTTGTTTTACAAAATTGCTTGCATTTCAGGGGCTGGTAATTGTTGACCAGATAACTTTTACAGTATTTTTTAATAGTACAACGCCAAATCGACATGGCCTACTTCGATTCCTGCGGAAGCACCTTCTGACTGTTTCTTAATAGACGCACATGCACACACACGCACACGCACATGCAAAATATGAACAATAATTGGTAGGAGCAATCCTACAATGGTATAGCATTGTTGTACACAAAGTAATAATGCATAGTAATATCAACAATATGATTAGCAGCCAGATGTAGATAAACTTCATATATTCATTGCATATAAAGTTATTCATTATGTGGAAGCCTGTGGTTAATTATGATTTTACTATCCTATAACCCACAATCCCCTGCTTGTTGTAGAGGGGAGCTCATGCGACAGACTGAGGCCAAATGCCTTGGACCTCTACCGTTGCCTCCACTAATTTTACATAGTCTTTTCTCCCGTTTTCCTTTTCCTTCTTTTCTTCGTTCTGTCTACATCCTAAGGTTGAGAACCGTACTAAAAGAATGAAAGGCTTGCGTTTAGTCAAGTCCTGAATTGCCTTTGTACTCTATTTGATCTTCCCTCTTTACCCTTTACACTACCATACTAATTTGTGCTCTACAACTCAGGCCCACCACTCTGGGTTGATGGACTGCATGCATTCTAGTGACTTCTAGGGAAAAGGAGTATTTTTTCAGCATCAATCTCGGGCCCAAGAAATAAGAAAAGGGCTTTTTTTGCATTTTCCTCCCGAGAAAATCGAGGAAAAAAGGTTCTGCCCAGGTCAAAAACACTATACTTTGGACATGGATATTCTTATCACCCTGATTACAATTTCTTCTGATTTATTGTTTCATCATTGTTTACATCCATGGTCAATTGAAATTATTGACACTTCTCACTTGCTTTTGTCTTTGAATCCAATAGTCATATCCTTCCCCTAACTCCATGAGTCATTTGTGGAACTTATGGTAGCAATTGAAATTCTGTTTCTGAAGCAGCAGAAGCCTTTTTTGTTTCTTGCTCTATGATCTTACTGACTGACTGTTTTATTGTACTGTACCCTGGAAATGGGGGTCTGCTTTGTCATTCCTGAGATTGGGTATATATGAGAAAAGGGGGTAAAATAATTGAAAAAGCCTGTGAAGGACCTGAGAAGAGGGGCGTTGAAAATTGGAGCTCTTCCTGAGATAGGGGTGTTTTTTTTTTTCAAAAGTGGTGATGAAACATAGGCATATCCCCCCCCCCCTAAAATGGCAGAGTGAAGGGGGGGTATATACCCTTTGACATCGAACATTTTGTCCTAATCGTCCCCCCAAATCCCTTGCCCGTTTTTGTCGTGGGGGGCCTAGGAGACAGACTGAGACCCAATGCGGGAGATCTCCCCTGCCTTGGATCTCAGCCCTTGCCTCAACTAATTTTGCACGGTCTTTTCTCCTTCTTTCTCTCTTATCTTCCCCAACCCTTCCCCTATCAAACTCCTAAGACGTAAGAGCTGTGTTGAAAGGATGAAAGGCTGACCTCGTGCCAGTCATGAAAGGCCTCAGGGAGCCATGGACACGGTATTCCTTGATAAATCATTTTGCCATTACCCATTACAGGGACCCTGAGGGGTGGACCGTTTTTTACCTTCCCCCACATAAAACCAGGCTTACCGTGGCCAGTAATGAAGATTTTGTACCCTTATTAGGGGCACTGAGGCTTGCCCCTTTATCAAATAGCCTCTCTGAATCTAAATCCTCCAGTTTACCGACCCCTGACTCCCCTTTGACCACGGCTCAGAACACTACTAATACACCTTCCTCCTCTATACATACTACCAACCTAACCCATCCTGAATCATCTACCCAGATACTAACGCAACCCTTAGAAGATATCCCATCCTCACTCCCAACATCATCCAGCCCACTTCCTGAACAATTATCTTCACATTATACCCAAACCTCCCTTATCACAACTCTTCAACCATATCGGCCACACCTCCATAATAAAACCTCACCTTACACCACTCCCTCCTCCTCCCGCCCTCGCCTCTCTACAATTCCCACTTCCTCAAGCTTTTTGAATAATATGTTTAAACCAGCCAAATGGGACCGATGCTTCATAGTTCGTCCAACATCCCCTCACTCAGATAACGCCTACTCTTTCGACAATGCCTCCAAAAACAAGTTGGAAAAGTTTTTTTGCGTAGTCGTCCTGATCGCTCACGGTTAATCAGTTACATCTGAGACTCAAGCCAAAGCACTATCTACCCTAGTTGACCTCACTGGTAAACCTATACCCGTTCTACCTCACCCCTCCCTTAATACATGTACTGAAACTGTATCCCTCTCCTCAGTTGATTGCCCTGTCTATGAAAAGGACTGGACAGACTGTGAAAATGACCTGCTTGGTTGCCTCACTGAATATGATGCTGAATTATTACAATGCTACTCTATTCCCCCCCAGAGGCAATCGTAAGTCCAGCATCAGTATTGCCAAGATTACCTTTTGTAGACAAGACCTTCCCCATAAGGAGGGGTTTCTTGCCATGTAAGACCATATCAACCCCCACCCCGCCAATGCCAGAAATGCTGGCGTTTGGGCCACCCTGCAAAGCACTGTCGGTCTACAGTCCACTGCCCACTATGTGCTCAACCTGGTCATGAGCGTGCAAACTGCCCTGCACAAGCGGACCTCATAATGTATTCTATAGAGGCTGCACAGCCTACAAATTTGAGAGTGATGTAGCAAATAGATTCAAACTAGGACTCATTCTACGAGAAGCCAGACAAGAAGCACGACGAAGAGGTTTTTCAATCACAAAGTACTCCAGTACCTTACATCAATCCACTCCCATCCAGGCTACCCAAGTGGTCTATACATCGACAGCACTACTTTCCCCTGCTCCTCAACTTTCCATCTCTAATTCTCATATCCCCCAATCAAATCCTTTTCCATCCAAAATCCAGACATTCCAATATCTACAACTCCCATGTCTCTTCCTACTTCACGCTTTGCCAGTCGCATCAGACAACCCAAATACCCCACCCCATCCTCTCCTACCAGATCCCATCCCACACCTACACCCTCAAATTCTCAGATACCGACCTCTTTCTACGTATAGCACAAGAGAAAGTTCCTCCCTCTCAACCATCCATCAATTTCTCTACCCAGATTCCGGCTGCATTCACAGTGACTGCCGAAATCCATCCTCCCCCTCCTGACATCCCCCCTACCCCTCTTCCTCTCACCTTCCCAACACCCTATTCACTCCACCACCCGTACCTAAACCAAAAATCCTTCCTTCCCTACTATCCCTACCACTCCCTCCTGTATACACACGTGAATCCCTTCTAGCACAATGTCCTTCCCCAGATTCCACCTTTTTTGATGAACCTCCAGATTCTATACCTTCACCTTTTCCCCCTGACCCCCCTTCCCATGATGATTCTCTTGATACTACACTACCACCTCAATCCCCTGATCCCATACCTCAATCCCCAGATATCCCTCCTCTTACCTCTCAGACATACATTGCCACCCATAATAGTTGTAGAATGATCCACAATGGCTCTACTGCAGTGGAATATTAGAGGCTTTCGCTCACACAGACCTGACCTCCGCCATCTTCTCTCCTCTTACAATCCATCTATCGTCTGCCTCCAAGAAATCTTCTTCACACATCCTCCAGTACCAATTCCCAACTACCATTTTGTGTCACTCCCTCATTTTATATTTGCTTCTTCCATACTTGTTCATCATAAAACACCATATACCATACCTCCTTTACAAACCACTATACCTAGCACAGTTATACGGATTTTCCTCTGCCGTTGGATAACAATCATTTCAGTCTACTTCTCTCCTTCCCTCCCTATTGACTTCTAAGAATTTGAGACCTTACTATGCATCCTCCATAACATCCTCCAATCTCTGCAGTCTGGCGGCAGATCCATAAGTTATCTGGAAAACATTCTCCTCCTCCTGCCCCCGTCCTCCATATTCATAATAACCTCATCTCTGACCCTCTTCAAGTAGCTACTGAACTTGGTGCCTTTTTTAGCCAAGTCAGTAGTGGCTCTCATCTTTCTCATTTCTCTTCCTTAAAATCAGACAAAGAGCGCACTCCTATCTCCTCCCTATCATCTACAGAACCTTATAATGCACCCTTTTCTTCTTCTGAGATCTATAATGCACTTCAGTCATGCCGCAACACCCATGAAGGCCCAGACGGTATGCATTACCGTATGCTGAGACACCTTTCTCCTACTTCCTTATCCTTCCTTCTTTCAATATTCAATAACATATGGACGACTGGAAACTTTCCTCCCCACTGGAGAGAAGCCATAGTATTACCTTTCCTGAAATCTAACAAAACAGGTACTCTTCCCCAAGACTACAGCCCCACAGCCCTTACAAGCTGCCTATGTAAATTAATGGAAAGAATGATAAATTTCAGATTAATGTGGTACCTAGAATACCACAAAATCATTTCACCAAACCAATTCGGATTTCGTCGCGGCAAAAGCACAGCTGACCCACTAGCCTATGCAGAAACATTAATCACTTCAGCATTTGCACGCCGCGAGTCAGTGTTAGCTGTCTTTTTCGATCTCGAAAAAGCATATGATACTACTTGGCGGCACCATATACTACAACAGCCATATCTCCACGAAATACGTGGAAACGGGTGTTTTTATAAAATCCTTCCTCTCTGACCGTACCTTTCCCTTCCTTTCCTCAATTTGAAGGTGTCCCACAAGGCAGTGTACTGAGCACCACACTGTTCCTCATAGCTGTAAACGGATTAGTATCTGCTTTACCACCAAAAATCCGTT